GGGGGGGGGGGGGGGGGGTGCTCTCTTGCATTAACTTTTTTACCGTTTATGATTCACGTCGGCCGGGGCCCAACCTCACCAAAGGCCATCCAATAAAATGCTGAACGAAATGGGGCGGAATATATGAGGTACTTAGATGGGCATTCCTTCAGTGGGCGGACCTAGCAGAGGACTCTACTGCTGTGCCAGTCGCAACCAGCGATCTTCACCTGGGAAGCGGCCAGGCTCTGCGACGGCCCCCACGCCTCGCTGGAGGTGTTCATGGCCATCGGCGCGATAGAGCTGCTGCTTGCCCGCATCGCCTCTCTGACGTTGACCAAAGACTGGAGGTACACGACAGCCTCCGTCAGCTTTGCATCGGGAGGTCGTACCGGAGGGGAGAGAGAGAGACGGGAGGTAGAGGTTAACGCGGGGAAAGCTGGATGACATGGCCACGAATGACGTCACGTATCACCGAACAAGTCGTACCCAACGCCATGTTAGGCAAAAGGCGAGCGTCCCAACCCCTACCTATATATGAAGCGGGATATCTATCTACCTAAACTTAACAACAAGTGCGTCTCCGCGTCAACTATCCTACAAATACCCCCCCTACCACGGACGAGGGACGTCACAACCGTTTCTGGGCGGCTATTGGTCGCCAGCAAAGCCCCTTCGTCCCAACCCCGCTGCCTCTTCCCCATGCGTTCAGGTGGCCAGCCCGTCCAAACAGGCAGCATCACTCCTACAAAGGAACGGGACGTTCCGCAAGAGGTGGGGCACTCTGTGGTTGTCAACACCACCACAAAAAAGCTCATACAAATGATAACAAGCGAACATGTACATAGTCCAAACAGCAGCACACAGCCATGTTGGTACTCTCTCTCAGCGAAACTGGTTCAGACAAACCGTGTACACACATCACTTGCACGACCACTGTTTAATCCGACGCTGCGTCAACATGCACACCCAACACGTGACGACCACAACCTGCGAAACAGGGCAGCTGAAACCTGTCCGGCCGAGAGACCAGGCTTGACGCTTTTAAAGCCACACCTGCGTCTTGTCAGTAGCAGCCATTCCGACGTCCTCTAGGACCTCGCCTCTCGAGGCAAGCACGGCCTTAGCCTTCGCCGAAAGGGAAACTTCCGGCCCCGCCTTTTTCGTTCAACGCGAAACAAACAACGAAGGAAAACTAAGCAAGGAAGGCAGTGGCGTTTTTGTTGTCGTCGTCGCCGGTAAAAGTACCGTACCGTACCGTACCGGTGGTGTCGCGGAATGTGAACATTATCACAATAAACTCAGACGGCATCAACAGGTCACTCAAAAAAACAATTGTGATAAATGTGTGTATGCAGGGGGGCGGGGGGCGGGGGGCGGGACGTAGTCTTATGTTTTGCATGCCTTAGCGGTTAGACCATTGACCACGCGTCCTCGACAGCACGGAGCATTGTTCCCACAGGACCGATCACTGATGGCCGATCGTTCCTTCCTACTTTGCCAAAGGTGGCTCAAAAATGTCTTCCCTAGTCTGTCTATCCTAACGATATTCCTTCCCGCCTTTTCAACCCACCTCCTATGCCCCAGGACAGCTACCGTCCTTTCCTCCCTATTCCATGCTTCAAACATCTCCCTGTACGTCCCATCTATTTTTCCCAGCTCAGTCACGTACACTTCCCTCTCCTTCTTGTACCACGGACGTTCCGCGACTACCTGAACACGGTCTTCTCATTCGAAGCCGCAATCACATTTGAACTCGTCGTCTTCTTCGTCTACCGTGCTATGTCTTCGTCGACGTTCTCGAAGGCCTATGTCCCCGGTCCTGAATTTGACCTCAAGCTTTGTTCCTGCATCCGTTGGTCCATGTAGGTAGTCCTTGAACCCTATTCCTTCCTTCAACATTCCGTACACTTCTAGACCCTCCTTATCCTTGGTTTCTTTCTTTACATTATGTTCTTCTCTCTCGGCACAAGCAACAGATATCATCTCGTTGAACCCCTTTAGACCCCCCGTTTCCAGCATTTCATCTTCGTCGATGTCGAGCCCCTTCCATACGTCCTCTACAACCTTGACCCATTCCGTGGGTTGTCTACCCCTCTTTTTGTTTGCCCACTTCGCCTCCCATACAATTCTCGGCAACCTCTCCTCTCCCATCCCGCACATGCGATACTGCCAGGTCAGCTTCCTCGCGTCTCTTCCCGACCGTAGGGATTGGATCCCCAATTCTGCCCTCACGACTGCATTACTTGTGCGCCTGGAGCATCCTAGGATGATTTTCGCTGCTTTCATCTGCGCCGCCTCGAGTTCTTTCACTACCTTCTTATTTCCTTCCCATACTTCTCCGGCGTACTCTAGCGGCGGTACGATTACGCTCTTCAAAACCGTCAATTTGATACGTGTATAAAGGTGCCGGTTTGCGAGTATGGGGTGCAGCTTCCCTGCTCGTGCTTTGCCCTTTTCCGCTACCTTGGACATGTGTGCATTCCACGAGCAGTCTTTTGCGATCTCTACTCCGAGGTATGTGTACTGGTCCAC